AGTGTGGATCCGGCCGCCTAGACAACTGCTCTACCGGCAACGACAGCGGCTCCGGATATATGGTCTACTCAGGAGGATGGATGGGATACATTCGGTGACGATTTTGATATTGTACCTGGCCCTCATAATTTCACGCGACTTTTGCAGTTCTAATTAGACTACCGTAGTAATCTACTTTCTTAAGAGAATGCGCGCGTTCAGGTATACCGATCAATACTGGCGGTACAGATAGTTGAATTAGTGCACATTGATTCTCGCTAAAAGCTGGCTAAGGGCACGTCTGAAACGGAGAATTGCCACCTGCTTTGGCAGGTTGGCCGGGTAATGCTGGGGTAGCTCATCAATACGTATAGCGCACCGGGCTAGTCTACGGGGAACCGATTGCGCTTGGCAACGGCCCTGGACGCACAATTTACACTATCGTCTGCTTACAAGCAGACGGAGCATGAGCATGGCTTTACACGTCCGGTTATAGAAAGAGATTCGCGACTTAACCAACTAATTATAAATTTCCAACCCGACACATGAGGGCCCCCGAAAGGTGCTAGTGGAGGAAGACTCGCGCTATTCCTTCTCCTGAGTGTGTCCGCATAAACCCAGCCCCAACCTCCTGACGCTTCCTCGCAGAGTACATTTAGTTGTGCTGGATCCGGATCGGTGCTCCCACGCGTTCGTCTGGATAAGCGGCCAGCTGTAAGTTTCCCACGAAACCATGCCTTTGTCTGCAATCCGGACGAGGAGAACAGCCAACAACGCAGCACTGAGTATCTAGAATCGTCAGCTACTGGCCGCTGAGCATCACCTAACGCTTGGTTACAATACGCTTACCGATATCGCGTATAAAGTTTGAGTCAGTCTCTTGATCTGGTTAGTCAGTTGGCCAAGGAGATTTTATTTCTCAAAACATTGCTTCACTGGTTGGAGGTAAGGATTGTTCTGGGCCATTTCTCCGAAGTTGCGAGCGCGATTGTAAGACTACAATATTCGTTGTTTAAGGTCCCAAAGTGGACTCTCCAGTACTGTCCGGAGGATTAGGTATTCTCTAGTTCAAACATGCGGTTTTGGTACCATTCGGTACGCAGAAGGGCACAAGCCCCTGAGGCTCCCATGCAGTCTAGGCGAGGAATATCCGGAAGCTGAGGTCTTTCGCACGGCAATTGGTCGGTGACGACATCCCGACATTGGCGGACATAATCTGAAGTTGGCCTCACTTTGCACTATGTAACAAGCCATCCCCTTCCGCTGTTGAGCCCACGGTGACCCGCCGAGTATACAAATTGACAGGGGGCTCTCTGCACCACTACCTCTCGTCGCGTTGCCGACAGCGTCGTGAATAAGAACGTTGGCAAGGCGGCGGAACTGGATACCTTGGAAATCAGCCATCCTGTCGGGACTATGGGGGTAACTGTGCAAACCGAAACGCCAGTGAGAGGCCAGCCGGTCTTTTAAATGCTGTCAATTGTCCGAACCACTCGTCGCATCATGGATGAGATGATATACGTCTCTATTAGCTTGAATCCGGATGTTCCTGCTGGAGGTTCAGCTCGGAATGTCCTGCTGTCAGGTTCAGGATCGCTTTCGTCCCAAGGTAATCTGTAGGTATGTGGAGCATATCCGCCTCGATAGGTGCTAGCATCCGGTCTGTTGAGGTGAGTATGCGGAGTTTGTATTGATTTGTTTCATTCACTTACTATTCGTCTACTTCGAGGATAACCTGGGTTGGACAATCGTTCTAAGAGGATCTGATTATTGCAATGTACCCTGTCCGATCATGAAACCCATGTGGTATATGACCCTGACAAGTATCGTTACAGCGAGCAGCAGACTTTTGCGATAAGGCGCGAAGAACGCAATACTGAGAGGTTTCTTGGCACAAGACATAACCACATCTCATATTACCGTGCATTCATAGGCTCCGCGGAACATGGCACTTATCGACGATTCACATGTCGAACAAGCGGGGCTTCCTTACTACAAAGTGTATAATATAAGCTTTCAATAACCACATGCCAGCAATTAGCAGGCATAGCCAGCGATATCAACACCGGCCAACGTGCAGTTACGTAAAGACAGCCGACGTATGCCAGACGCTTCTTCTCATCGCCTTCTCTACTGCCGTTATTCATCCGTTCCCAACAGATTCGAAGCACTTTACATACTGGCAGCGTCGTCAGACCGACGCGGACGCCCTATCTCCCCTTTCGGTTTCTTCAGCGGAATACTCATAGCACGGGGTTCAAACTTCGCTGGCGACAGGATCTTCTGCGTACTTCTTCTGCCCAAGAGATATCCAGCACCATACATACCCACAGCTATGCATGCCAACGGGACACCCACCGCGACTCCAATCGCAACCTTCGTCAGTCTCTCGGACTCGTCCTTATTCTTGCTGCTATCTTCTGTCGGGATGGCAGTTACTGTTGTCGTAGGAGCAGCGGTAGCGGTTACACTGGAATTTGGATCAGTACCGACCGGTGTCGGACCTAAGCTAGATATTTCGTGCGTATTGCAGCAGGAGGTGGAGCTACCACGGCACCAGAGTTCCTCTCCACAAGACGTCAGTTAGTAGGTCCAGTCTGAATTGCCGCTATTCTGCCAACATCATCAGTACTGATATCGTCGATTTTTACGCAGCGATAGGAGAAACCTGATCACCACAGATAAGTTTAGGTAAACTTATTTCGAGTTCCAGAATTGATCGGTGCAGAATTCCTGATAATATTCCCCGCCACTTGTCAGGCAAAACCCCGTTGGGTCTCACGTATCCGGATCGTGCCGTTCAGCCTACAGCACATTGAATGGATGTCCGAAATGGGAATACACAGCTGATATAAAGAGTTGACGACAAGAGTCCCATCCGGTGTATAACATGTCACTGCAGCGGCCAGAGAGAGATAGTTGGAGAGGAGCGTCCAGGAAGAGCCCAAGCCATTTTTCATTGTGACCGGCTTGAAGATGCTGGCTTCGATTTATGAGCGAATAAAGAGTCAAGCTCGACATTTTATTGTGTTAACGGCAAAGGGAAGCATCTTAAGAGGCTTTGTGTCTGCCTTTCGGACCTTTGCGTATTGAAGGGAATTCCAGTTACGAGTTATTTATATCCATCCTTGAAGTTGCGGGTTGGGCCATTCTTAGAGAGACTTGGGTTCCATGAAGGAAGGCCCCGGCTGAGCCGTCAAGATCAAGCTACTGGCATGACGGTTTAGAGTGGTGAGGGATAAAAGCTTCCTGGTTGGTTCCATTCGAGGTGCCGAGAAGATGCGGTTGACAGTAATTCTGATCGGCAAAAAATAATAGCCTGCTATGGTGTTATGCCAACTGCAACTACAGAGCCGCGGGGCTTTCGATAGAATGCGAATACACCGTAGATCGGCCACAGTGGGTGAATAGCCCGGAATGTGAATTTGGGTGCAGAGAAAAAGGGGCGAAATTTTCGAGAATACTAGGAATGTGTTGTCGGCCCTTACCGGAATGTGAACGATAGCCAACCAATTGTTCTTCTAGGCTAGCCGTCCTTGGCGATCTTGCATTCCAATGCGAATATACAGGTGTGTGTTTGTGTTAAATGCGAAAACCTTTTCACATAGGACCCCTGAATTCCCTAATAGTCCCTGACAAAATTCCACGGCGATAGAAAGAACCCGTACAACATGGCCGTTAGGGAGAACAATGGAACAGTGCTGTTCAAATTGTGCCTGTCAAGTTTGTCTCGAGACTATAAGCGAAATACTCTTACTTCCTGTCTATCAAAACAGGGGGTCGCAACTCTTGAGGAAGTCTCCTTGCAGCAGAGATGCCCTCAATCTCCTAGAAATATCAATACAATTTACCACAGTAACCCCGGCGTTTTAGCTAACGCACTGATGAAAGCTATTGCATTAGAACAAGCGATCCCCCACTCTTCCTGACATAAGAAATATATGCCTTCGGGCCTCTAGCCATTCTGGATTGACCCAAGCTGTCGCTCAAAATGGTCGACAGGTGAAACAGGTAGCAGGTACTACGATGGACTCATTCAGCAGCAAACGAAGGTGAAATCATCATTCCTCAATCCTGCCTTTTTCTCCTTGGTCAAACAGCCAGTGTCCTTAGGGTAACCCTACTTGTGATTAGGCAGTCCTTAGCTGCCATCAAAACGCCAATCCAGTTGACGATGCCTTGCCCATGTCAAGAGGTTGCAGCTGGTCTAAGAGCCTCACATAGCGAGTGTTTCGTCTGCGACATAACGCCTCATTGCAAGCAGAGAAACCTTGTAACCGCTGTCGTTCGTCGGCTATACTCGCTTCCCTGCTTTCTTCGAAGACATACCAGTGTCCGATAAGTACATAGCCTTAACTTTCAGGTCATACCCGCGCAGTACGTCCATCAACAGAATCAAGGAAAACGGATGCATGCCGCGCACTCTACCCGTGTCATGCATACTGAGACTACCGCACCCGAGTACTCGCAAGACAGAAAACGGATGATTCAGGTCTTTTCTTACTGTTCGTATTCTCTATTGCTCTCGCTCAATTGCCGGTTTGGCCGGGTTCTAACCTTGTGTGCGCACCCGTAGGTAATCCGAGCGGGGCTCGCCCATGGTTAAGCCTTGACAAGTGCTTACTACCAGCACCGACAAGCCCACTTGTTCAGACCGCTGGCCAGATTTGTATCCGCTCAATTCTCACCGTGACTGTTTGATGGACTTCAAGTTCCCATCCATTGAGCTAAATGGCTTCATATCTTTGCACATCGAGACGCGCGTCTGTCCGCTTGGTAACGTACGCATATTGCATCGCTAGTTAGTCCATCCCTTCCTTGCCCTCACCACAGGAAGGGTTCAAAAGGTGGCACAAACACGGAATCTCTTCACAGGACGGTTATAGTAGGGGAAGATAGCAGTCCCCGTCCACAGCACATAGTAAAAGGGGGCACGATGAGACGAATTGCTAAGGATAATCTTGAGCGACGATGACTATACGCGAAGGGCAGTTTGCCACCGAAAGACCATAATAGGGTTGCTAAAACCCTTGAGGTATATATCGGTGGTACACATAGTTATGTCGCCGCTGTAGCTGTATTAGCAATATGCAGTATTGTTGAGCACGCTGTATGTCGACTGTTGATGCGACGATTATGGGATGCATCACAATCGGGACTTGATCTTGTACGAGCACTGGCGTTCCGCACTGGCTTTGATGGACATGATATTCATGTGTTGGGGATGCTTTATGAGGGTATGAAGCCTGATAAGTAGAAAGATACTGTTCAGTTGGAATGAGAACCGCAACTTGCATAGCATACGGGTGAACGGATACCTCATATATTGAGGGCGAGGATGATACGGTTTCCGGGCAATGGGACTGCCGTTGATGTCTGGTCAAAGTCGTCTTGCGATACAACCTTCATGTTGTTAGAAAGCCAGCAGCACCATTACCGGGCTACTGCCCATGTTCCTTCTCCCAAGTTGACCCCTGGCAGGTAAGTGGCCGTTGTCCTCCATGTCATGACGAGCAACTAATATTTCATCTCAAAGGGGTGAAGACCGTCACCCTCAGCCTTTCATCACGTGCGCCCCCCCATTACTCTGGGTGGCCCCGGATTGTGGCAGCTCTGAGATGACAGGCGCTGGAAATCTAAAATTTAATAACCTACCCCAGGCTGTGTCAGTGTCGATGGGACACTTTTTCAGCATGGTATCTATGTTGATGATCCCTCGAAGAGGCCTTAAAAGTTGCATTCACCTGGGCAATATTCTGGACTGTGATTAGATAGCACGACAAGGACAAGTCCACTTTAATTTAAGTACCCACCTTTGTACTCATGTCCGACCGCGGTTGACGTCCCCGCGGAGAATGCGATGTCCTGGTGTTGGTCCTTGGATGAGGTTCGTGTTACCAATGGGCGCAACTTGCAAGGTATTGTCTTGGTAACCTGTTCAATTTCTATTGTCTAATTTCCGCCTGTCGATATCGAGCCAGGAGCCGAATCACGCTGCAACAACTCTTCGTCTGATAAACGGAGTCCATGAAGGAGACAATTTCAGAGGAGTTGACGGGCGCAAAAGACATATATACCGCCTTAGCTCATGTCACATACGCTTTTTAGGGATACTTCTAGAAAGAGTGGGTTTCATGGCATAAAAAATATCTGTAGGGATCCGTATGATATTAACTGTGATAAAAGCCGGGAACTGCAGCTCACATATCCCACCAGTTAGTCGTCTTCGTTGTAGACGACTTGTGTCTCACGGAGCATTCAGATGCCATAACTCGTTTCCTACTTCTTCGGCTGCCTCCAAATTGGAGCTTTTGCTTGACCCTGGACATGAGCCTATGAGTTGGGAGTTTGCCATGCCTCAATGCTCTGTGCATTAACGGAGATGTCTGTTCCCGATTGACTGCCAGACAGATCGGTTCAGGGGCTCTGGACTTTCCATATTGTGCGCCTGGCATTTCTAGCTTGTCTTGCACGTCTTGCACGTCAAAGGCTTTAATTTGGCGCTCAGGAGTGTGGAAACTCTCTTCTGATCTCACTGGCCGAAATGCTGAGATACCGGAAGAGAGCTGGCGGGTGGGATCTGCCACAACCTTTGTCTCGGCAATGGTGTCCTTTGGGAGGAACCAAATTAGCAGAGGACCAAAAGTTGACCTTTGTTCCAGAGTCTGAGTTAAAGCAGGGGTCAAAGATAGTGCTCTCTGATGATAAATCACCTACCGAAGCTACAGACTCTGATGCCTCCTGTGTAGCGTCAAGTTTGTCTAGACCCTTCTTCTTCGCCTTGGTTGGCGTTTTAAACGGTGATCCCAGACTTTGAACTTTTGCCATGTGTGGGTCAAAGGCGCTGCCAAATGTGATGCAAGAACTTGTAATGCAAGGAAAAGGAGGAAAATGCTCGCTGAAATTCGCCTCACATATTAGGGGAGCTCTATTATATATGAGATAAAATTGTGCCTGTGTTTGCAAACATACTTCAAGGATGCTATGTTATAATAATGCAGAACATTCCGGCGCTTTGGTCCCGCGGCATGCAAGGGATAATGTTACCGCTCATGGTCCAGTTGTAGTTTGACGTCTCCAAAGGGGACCGGCCCCCCTGGCCAGACAAAGCCCGCACCCGCTGTTTCCTTTGTCGGTCACCATTGTTGAGAGGGTACAATTAGCTTCAGAATTGGGCATGCATGTAAGTAAGCTCGGAGGATATCGCTTCTATGGTCCTGTTTTGCTTGCCCCTTTTGGAGGGTCATCCAGGACATGTAGGTAGTTGAGTCTTCAATCATGACCACGTGCTTTACAATTGGGTAATTAGGCCCACAGGTGGGTGCTAGTGTGTCAGGGTAGCATCAGAATATTTTACTGGAGTAAATCAGTGATCGCGAAATATGCCCTTCTAAGTAACAGAATAATAAAGATGTGAGTTGCCATTCATAGTCGCTTCTGATCCTTGGACCGGATCCGTGTCATCAATGGCCGTAATAGTTTGTAAGCTCGGGTGGGACATCAATTGGGGGTGCGAGGGCCCAGAAGGATTGATGAGCTATTGAACTACAGCCACTCCAGCCCCTGGGCCGCTGATCTCTGCTTAGCGACCTTTATCGCGTGGATCTGCGCTTGGCGCTCAAGTTCTTCTGCTTCCGAGCGTTTGTTCTCTTCCGCAGACAGCCTATATACCTGGCCCCTGGGTACAGACTAGCCTCCAGCCTTCTACCATTTGTCTGCTACGAATCAAACGCCCTAGTAGCTCTGCTGACGGACTATTTCTCCCGGGCCTGGGATTCACACATCTACTGCTTTTTTATTTATTTATTTATTCTCTTACTTCTTCTTCCATTTTACATTGACCTTATGTCAGCTATATCCAGGATTCTCTGCTATGGGGACGAAATGGAATTACTACATGTCGATAATTAGCCGCCTGAGTTATTGTAGGCGAAGCGCTCCTTCAGAAAGTGGACAGCAGACTGAGGCGCCCCCGCAGCACATATTGGATCGTGGTCGTCTCAGCAATCCATGAGTGGATCATCGGCTGAGGAGACTTTCCACTGGAGGGAGGCTGATTCTTCGCCGCCATTCAAGTCAGACACGCTTTGTAGAAGTTTAGAGACGTGGCCATGGAAGCATCAGGGCTGACATGATCCCAAGTCCTGAACTTTGACCGATAATTCACGTAATGGTTCATTGCCGAGGTCTCATTCCGGCAAGGAGAAGGAAGGTTCCGAACACTGTGGTTGAGTGAGAAAGCAGCACCATTAAGGCCACGACTATCTTGTGTTTGGATGAGAGAAGATTCAATGTCGTGACAACAACGCTGACCTGGCTGTCCCTGTAGGTGTAGGCTCAGAGAGCCAACCTGGAGGAGCACAGTGAATTCTGTATTATTGGCAATGTCCACTTGCAGCATCATACACAGCGGGTGTCAAGTAGATATGCCTTCATTTGGACTTTTGCATGATTCGATATGAGGATACCAACTGAAGTATCTCTGTTGTTACCTCCAGGTGAGAGTATTTCTTTTCTGAATTTCCACGGGTGGCTTATAATATTCCGTTGAAGTCAACGTGTTGCAGCTCTGTATGGCTCATTGGTCGATTCGCATCCTTGCCTAGGCTTGATTTCTTCCGAATGCCTTGATATGCAGTACTTAAACATTTGTTGCTTCTGAGGCGGCTGTTAAGATCCGATCTCGCTGTCTGGTTCCCGTCACGAAGTAGCTCGACTAGTCCATCCAAAAGATCACAAGTTCATTCAATTAGACCTTTCGTCGTTGGTCGGTCTCTTTGGATTATGAACACGCAGTCCTACGTTTGCGGCAGTTCGTGCACGGTACTTTCCCAGTACACGGCACAAGCGTGAGTATCAATAAAGATCATCTCCGAGAAGGCTTGGTATAAACAATCACCTTGCTCTTTCTTGCCATGCAGAACAGGCCCTTGATGATTTTATTATATTTTCTGCTGGACTTGTGCAGAACCTATTCGAACCGTAGCTGTGTAGATGGAACTATTCGAGTCTGCTTCGGTTTGACACAAACCTTTGCACACAAAAGGTTTCCGAATGGACTATACCTAATTTCCTAGTCATTATTCAAATTGTTCTTTCATCCAGCTTATCATGGCTCTCCGTCTGCTCAAAGTCTCGTAGGACATTGCACTGTAGCGCATTATAGATAGAACTTACCCAAATCTAGTTTCAAAACTGGATACTACGGATCGGCACCTCTGTAAGAGCAACAGCAGCTGTTTTGGAAGGCTATGGGACGGGACTCATTCGCAGGTCAATGACCTGGGACTGCTTTCACACGAGCTCCAAATGGGCGCTAACGTCGAGACCATGGTTCTAGGCATGGACAGGAGCTGAGTGTAACCTTGACGATCGTATGGCAATATAAGGTAATCGACCTGGGAAGTGGTCAAACCTTGTGCGATTAGGTTAATAAGCCTGCACGCGACCCGGAACGACTGGGGCTGGAATCCTGGCTTGAGTTTTCCAGCTATCAGAAGACGGATAATTCGTCGATAAATGCGATAAAGGAGAACCCTTGGTGCAAGCAAATGAACCAGTAACACAATCCAGGCTATCTAAGTTCTGTTTTTCACCCTCTTACGGCATCCATACGAGGACCCATTGATACTCTCGTACTAAAACCCGTAAGAGATGTTCTCGACAGAACGCATTGGATACATGATTTTTCTGGTATCGACCGGACTTGTTCCGAAATGATTCTCAACCCGCGTAGATGATTCGGCTCCTGCTCGTCTCTTGGTCTTATTTTCATCCGGGATCATTCATTCGCGTGATCGAAGTAAGGACAAATCACTTCCCGGATCTGCCGGCGGCACTGTTTGAGGTTGCCGAGGCTGTACTCCACGCGCGGAAGAAAGGGTGGGGAGACGGCGACTCAGCCAGAGGCATATTCATGGACGACCGCAAGATGCATCCCTTACCGACCGAGGGGACTGAGAGCATAGTAGGGGCATACGTAACTAAGATGTCTTCGGATGGCGTAAGCGGAGATAGGATGCTGGGCAGGTTCCAGGTCTGGATTCCGGAACCCTCATAGAAAGAAGAAGGTAACAGTGAACTGCCGGCGTCTTTCTCAGGGTAATGTCTCGTCGCTGCGCTGCAGGTCAGTCATTTTCATGTCAGGCGAGACGTTGTCTTCGAGATATGTTGTATCCTATCGGTCCCTGGGGCAAGCAGCTGGGCAAATTGAAGATTACGAAATTCCCTTGAGCATCAACTTTTGCCGTGGCCACCTTCAGTTCCCCTTCGCAGGGGAATGCCGGGTTGGCCACATCCCGATATGACAACTCTAATCATTCTGATCGACAGCACCGCAGTACGTATACGTCCAAGTGACCTCAAGCTTCTGATCCTGTTCGATGCTGTCAAAGATACAGTTACAAATGCAAGGAACCTCGATTAGAATGAGAGGGCGCTGGCCTGTGAGGTTGATGTCGGTTCTGGACCGCGGCTTCAACTAAAGGGCGGTTCTGCTCATTGCGGCAATATGTATGGACTGGCTGCATGGAGTCCGGTTGGCAATACGACCCGAAACAAGGGCATATCATGTTTCCTGTAGTTCTGTTGACATTGCGCCGCTCGGGGCGAGGGAATATCCCACGGCGTTTTGACCAGCAGTAAAGCAGGTTGTCTCAGACCTCAACCATTCCTGTGTTTCACTCTGTCGTGCAACGAAGGTGGACGGTTCTTCTTAGAGTTTTAAAGGAGCACGCCGCTCGGAAAGCGGGTGGATCAGTTCATGCTGCCCATTCAACGGTTTCTGCTTGGGTGGCTCGATTACTCCCAAGTAGTCTCCGCTGGACTGCTTAGACGTGTAACTTTATGTCCCGTAAGCTCGTCTGTTACCTGTGTGCCTACACCCATTGACCAGCTGCGCGGCCCCACGGGCCGCGCGCACCGCTCGCTGCCTATGCCCACGCGTATGGTTTCGTCCCAATCGGCCCAGTTTGAATTGAGGGCCTCAAACTAACGAGCGAATGCCTGGACATGCAGGATCAATCCGGAAGGCAGATGGGGGATTTGCCCTTCTTATAACGGTCATCATGTGCACCTGAGCATTTCCTTGGACAAATGGCACCCAGGAATAGCTGGATACAATACCATGCGCGGCACTTGATGACATTTCAAGATTTCTCGAAAGGAGATCCCGCAATCGTGAGGTAACCAAGCGAGATGGACTGAAACGGGTATTCGCGTGCCCGGTGGGTCTGAAGTGGGCAAATTGTCCGACAAGAACACCGATCTAAGGTCTTGTGAAGCTCTACGGTAGTGACCAGGTAGGGTTGTGCTGTGCTCGGCTGAAGACACGGGATTCCCCGCTGGTGGTCGCTGGTGCTTGGAGGTCAATCTGTGACACAGAATGCCCAATCAGGTTGGTAGATTCTCAGTGCACGCAAAACTCGAACCCCCAGTTCTGCTTTTTCTTCAACCAGCAGCATAGTTTAACTTCACATTAAACACGTTTGACCAAGCTGAGCGCAATTTTGCGCTTTTCAATTCATGTTGATAGCCCTTTAAGCTGTCTGATCCAGGTCTTATTTAAGACCTGGTGGGGGAGCTGGATGACCTGCATACCCAGAGTAGGACAATGTGGCGGATGAGAAAAAGGGTGAGGAGAAAGAGTAAGCATAAGTCAAAAGATGCTGGTAATATGGGAGAATGAGGGAGCGTTAACCGAGAAGACGTGGTCAAGTTGCCATACCGTCCTTTTTAAGAGGGGTTGCGTACCTTGACAATCTGTAGGGCCTCCGTTCAGCATTTGCCCAGGCGGGCATGTCTCTTCGCCGCCCTCCGGTCGGTCTTAGTCGTTGTTCCCTTGGATTACCAATATTAACGTTACGAACGGTCTCGCGGCCTATCCCATA